AGACAGAAAGTACCTCCAAGAAAGCCAAAACAACAAACAAACAAAAACAATCAACCCCTTCATCCGCCTTTCCAACACAGGCAGAGAGCAGAGGAGCTGGTGCCCTTGCTCATCCCCCCTTCACAGTGCTGGGGTTTGCTGCATCCTGGCACCTCCAAGGAAGCTCATTAACATTTTGTGGCTGCCCCAACCCTGGAAATGTCCAAGGACAGCTTGGACGGGGCTTGGAGCGACCTGGAATAGTGGAAAGTGTCCCTACCTATGGCAGGGGGTGGAACAAGATGAGCTTTAAGGTCCCTTCCAACCCAAACCATTCTGGAATTCAACGATTAGCCGAGTATTCAGGGCAATCACGCTGACAAGGTCGAATCTCTGATGACAGGGGAATCCACAGGGGTCAAAGACAGATACAGTCATTCCACAGCTGTAAGTCACCCTTCTCTCCAATGGCTTTTCCCTTCTCAGGTGAATCCAGGAAGAATAACCTTCTCTCTCCCACACCCAAAGCTGTGCATTGTGGGCCTATACAGAGGTCATAAAAAGCTCAGAGAGGTAGATTTATATACACAGACAGTACTGTAAATTACTTTAGCTCTTACTCAGAGGTTTATCACCACAATTAAAAGTACTTGTTCTACTATCTTTTGTGCTACAGCTTGAAAAAAAATTCAGCCAGGTATGCAGTCACCAAAGAACAGCATGTCATCCGAACAGCAAGGAAACACACAGAGCCACTGCCAACAGGATTATACCGACTGCCTGAACTGCCAAAAGACAAACCACTTCCAATTGCTGCTGAGTTAGTACTTATTGTGAAGTCTCTTATAATAAATCACCTAAGCATGCAAAGTTGCAGGAGAATCTCCTCTCTCAGAAGCCAGTTCTGTTGTGCTCTTACAAGCTTTTTAAGCACTCAATGTCTCTTTCCCCAAAAGATTTCACATCAACAAATGCATCAAATAGAATACTCTAGTAGCAGCAAAATGAACATATACCTGCAAGGCACTTTTTTTCCCTTCATCAATCAGTTGATTAGTTATTTTTAATTAAAACAGCAAGCTCTGATTGCAGGATTTTAAGTAATAATCCTTGCCACTTTAACTACTGTTTTCTGTGGTTCAGATACTGAATTCATAAACTATTAATAGGATAGAACCAGCAAACCTGGCTTTAATTCTCAAGCAGCCTTTTGGTTAGATCCAGATCTCAAGCTCCAACTACTCTATTACCCATCTGCATGTTTTGAGTACCAAGAAGCACATATTACCTGGCTAATAGTTCAGTTTTCATCTGTGCACTTTAAGTTTAGGAGAAGAATAGCTGGTTCACACACAAAAAAACAAGGCTTCATTTTGCTAGAGGTCTGTTAAATTTACTTCAAGCTTGGATGAAGATCCAAAAACGACCTCCATGAAGTGAAAAGGTTTGGTTTGCCAAACCAATGGGTTTGGTATCAGACTTACTGTTACAACTGCACTCAGACCAAAATTTACTTTCCTCTTTACAGATTTTGCTGCTTGGCTGGACAGAGGCCCTGATGCAAACATAAAAACAAAACAAAAAGGAAAGCTAACATTCACCCAGAGCATTTTAGCTAAGGCATAATTGCTTCCAGAAGTTTACTAAAGCCAGGAAAGGAAAAGTGCAAAGCTAGTGGTTTTATTTCCTTCACCTGTTTGCTAACCACAAGCAGAGTTTTAACAACTTATGTCCCACGTTTAAAGTTGTTCATAAATTATTTAAATCACAGATTCAGGGGTAAATCTCCATGTGTATGTGGCTGCTAAGGCATGGGAAGGAGGAAAGGAGCAGTAAGTGAGAGACACCTGAAGGACTGTACTTTTTAAGGATGTATTCCACCGAGTAAAGACTTGGTTCCTGAAGTGTACAGGTCCCAGTAACAATATATAAGGAACTTACGGAAGTTTATTTTGTAAACAGAGGAAAAAAGAACTTAAGCCAAACTCTAACTTCTGTCTGATATCCATGCTCTTATATCATATGCAAAGCTTCACTCCATAGCACTGTTCCCATGTCCCTATCCAGCACTGCAGTGTAGCTGTCCCAAAGAGACACCAAGCTATCCTATCAAGTAGTAAACACATGTACAGCATGGATACACAGTGCAGCAACTCGTGCTTCAGACTTCCATTAGGGTATAGAAAATCAGAGCCTAGAGACCCGATCTGACAAACACATGTACACAAAAATGATGTTTCATTGGTGGACGGGGAAGAATGAACAATAACTATAGTCCCACAAAGCTGACTGAACCTCGTCATCTGCAAAGTGCACACTGAATCAGTACTTACCTGTCAGATGATTAGCAGGTTGCTCTAATAACCATCCCCATTTTGCCAATGGAATTAGATACTCTTACACTTTCCCAAATGTGTGCACATACTGCCATTTGGAAGTTACAGGCAAAGCAGGATGTGAAAAGCTGCACTATGAAACTTTGAATAAAAACATAAGCAAGCCTGATCTAAGTGCCCCTTTACCGGTCTATGGTCATTCTCTTGAAAATTAAGCACGTGTCACCTACAGTCACTGTGCCTTCCAGAGGGTGGCATAAGGGGGCCTGCCAGATCCACAGCAGCTGAAGCAAGAGGGGAGAGCCAGTTGTCCCCGACTCGGGAGTAACCTGCCTTAAACTTTGCAAAGCTTTGGCACACCGAAATGTTTAAAGTAGGGTGGATTCCCACCCCGTTGCTGTCCGTGCCGGGTTCCGCATGTGACAAGACTGTCACTTGTGCTGCAGTGCCAACACACTCCCACTGCTGCTTCAGGAGCCTCAGCACCTCGTGCACATTCCCTGATTGACCGGCCATGCAGATCGGGCTTTGCTGGGAAGCAGGAGGAGATCGCATCTTCCAGGGAGAACTGAATTTGGAAGAGTTACACAGCAAGAACAGTTTGCATTCATTCCCAGCTTGCTACGTGGGATCTCGAGAACATTTGCTTTACCACTTCGACTATACAGTCTGATTTTATTTTTAAATCTCTCTTTTTCCCCAGTTTCCACTCATCAGAAAGCAAAACTGTTCTCAGTCGAAGCGAGAAACATATTTGCTTAAAACGCAGACACCCCAAAGAGCCGTTTGAGAATTTTACATGTCACGAAACCTCCTCCCGTCGGGGGGTGGGTGGGAACAGACAAGGAAAATGTTTCCACCTTAACTTTTCATGATGGGATGTGGGAGCAACCTGCCTTGCAAACACTGGGGCTTTCCCCCCCACCTCGGCGGAGTCCAAATGAGTCAATGGGAACTGATTTGCATCCAACAGCCCCTTCCACTACCACGCCCCTCCCCCTAAATTAACATCCACGCAGTCGTCATTAATGGCCACTGCTGGAACACGTCAGGGTCTGGAAAGCCGGCGTCTGCCTCTCCCGGCATGTGCCCCCAGATGACACCACCACCCACACGTCTGTCTTCCCCTTCCCCAGGTAATCTCACAGTGCTCAGGCTCCAGCCCCCAAAGCTACCTCACCGTTCATTTCTCAAGTTAGCACAACATTTCAAACCCAGAGCTCGGCTCGGTCACAGGGATAGATAAAATCACTGGGGTGTGTAAAAGGCAGGCAGCAGAGTCACATCACCTTCCACGAGTCGGGGGACCGGGGTCACCCTGCTGACTCCCGCTGTAATCCCACTGGCAAAGCGTTCACGGGGCTTTCCGAGCCCGAGAAGGTGTCTCCCCCCAGCTTTGCAGTTACAAGGCAAGGAGCTTCCCGTCTCCCCTTCGCAGGACTCCCCGATGCCTGACAGGCTGAGGCACTCGAGAAAAGACAGCAGGGAAGGCACCCAGCATCACGCCGCTTTCCCCAAATGAGCTCGGAAATGAGATGTAACAGCAGCCTCTCCCGCGCCAAGTATTACAGGAGCGGAATACTAAGGGGTTCCTTTATTTTACCCATTACCATATGCAGATATTAAAGTCTAAACACTGCATTTGTACACTAGCCCTTGCAAATCAACCCTACATGTCAAAGCGGCACGACAACAGTTGAGGTCACAGTCTCTCCTCTGCCTGGCGGCAGGGACCGATGGGGAAGGAGAGGAGGAGATAGGTGTTTGTCCTCGCTGGAGGAGGCTCTCCCAGCTCCGGCCGCCGAGCCCTGCCCCAGCAGGGTGGGAGCCTCCGGGCTGAGGCATCCCGAGGAGCCGCGGCAGCGCAGTCCGGTCCCCCCCCCCC